TATTGTGCAACTAATAGTGTACTACTATTACAGTAATATATTTAATCAATTACTAGTCGCACATAAAGACTTTAAATATAGACAAAAATAAATTGTAAATTATATAAATGTCTGAATCAAAATGTCAAATATCACTATAAATAGTCTAATAATAATAATAAGGTGTCGTTTCGTAATCATTGCATTTGATTACCATAATATTGCAGTATATACTAGAGTTTAAATAGCATATACCAGTAATAATAATAATAATAAAAATAAATTTATACATATATTATATACGAAATGTCACTTTTTTATTTGAGTCATAGAAAACCAGTTAAGAATGCTAGAAAGCATTTTCAGAAAAAAACTTGAATAGATTGAAAACCATTATAGCGGCTATAAGGTAACATATAAAAATCTAAAAACGTCAAATATACATAAATTAAGTGTCATGTATGATATCAAATGACTCAGTATGACAAAATAAACTCAACTTTAGTCATGTACGGCATCAAATGACTCGGTATAACAAAATATACTCAACTATAGTCATGCAGGATATCAAGTGACTCAATATAACAAAATATCTTTGAATATAATCATACTATTTAAAAGTTAATAATTTTGATTTATAATATCTTATTTTTGATGATCTATTCAATTCTAAACGTTAAAATTTTTACCTAAGTTTTTATTTTGGCCGCCATTTTATCTATGTACCCGAAGATATCAAAATTTTAATGCATATTTTTATGCTTGTTTTTGATGCTTTATTCAAATCTATACTTAAAAAAAATTTGCTTAAAATTTTCTTTACTTTGGCCGCCATTTTGTCTATGTTCCCGAAGAGATATCAAAATTTTGATGCAACTTTTCAATACATTATTAGTAGTCCTCTAACCGAATCTGAAGTCAGAATTTCAAAATTCGCAAAATGAAATGCTACAGACAGACAGACTCAAAAAGGCATTATAGATTTCAGTAAACAAAACTTTTCAAGTTTTTTTTGAAAATCATAGAAAACCAATTTATTTAAAACAAATTCAAAGTCTTGTAATATTTATACGATATATACGATATTATATGTATATATATTTATATATAATATACGATTATTATTATTATTATTAAACCTATGTTAAAGAACTCTAATGGCTAGAAATAAATTTAGATGTTTTTCTCATTTTTATTGTATATATATATATATATATATATTGTATACATGTATTGTATTTCGTCTTTTTCTAGATTTCTAAAATAAATTTTTTTTTTAAATCCAAATAATGACAAAAATTTATAATATTTTTTGTGAGCGCCAAAGAAATATATTGCACACAATTTTTTTTGCTACAATCAATTTCATTCAACATAATTCACATTTAATGTAGATTTTTAACATATTTGAAATATTTTATTCATTCAATAGTCTATAAAAATAATATTTCTATACTTTTTTAATATTAGTTTTTATAATATAAAATAATAATAATAATTATTATTATTACTATCAATTGTATAATTTATTATATGTATAACTAAATGTAGAAAATTAAATAAATGTTTTACTAATAATGCATACATAATTATACAAAAATATTTTTAACCTTAATTATCGTTTGACATACTGTATTGTCATCTCATGGGACATACATTTGTAGATTAATTTGTATAATAACTACTACTACTTGTGTTTGAATCGATCCAATAATGCTTACCGTTTATATCCATATTTTATTTTTTATATTGTTATTATATATTATTCAATATAATTAATTATTCAATAAATGTTATAATTTCTTAATATTTTTTTTGTATATTCTAATGTCAATTGAAAATTTATTTAATCTAAATTTAGTCTTTAACTGAACTACACTTATTATTTGTTACTTATTATTAATACATATGGATTGTCATAATATATCACTAAAAAAATTATGTATTTGAATGAATCGCAAAATTTATTTGAAATATACAATTCAATAAATCTTGATATTGTTGTACAAAAAAACTGGCATTTTATTATAAATGAAACTATTTTTTTGCCCCAAATATTCAATTATATTCAGCATATAATTCATATTTTTTATATACATATATAAAAACAAATTCAATCATAAATTTTATTATTTGATATATATTTGTCTATTACTTATGTCATTTAACATGTAATTTATTATAGAAATTTAATTTCATATTTTGTTAAACAAATTTTGTTAATAATATATATATACTGTATATATAATCTATATATAAAAAGTGTTTAAAAATTGTGAAACAAACATATTTTATACAATATATAAAGTATTATTATATATAATATAAAAGGATTTCATATTAATTCGCATAAAAAGGGTTTTAAATGTTTCTACAATTATTGAAATGAATATACAGTATATTAATATATTTATAAATAAAAATCTGAACACAAATTTTATTTTATTTTTTAGTCCTTTTTATGTCTCATTCATTATTATTCGTGTGAATAGTCGTCGGTTTGTGAAAAATTAGCATAAAATCTATAAACTTTAATGTGATTTAATATATATTTCGATTGCATTTGAAATGCAAATGCATTATTCAAATCAAATACGATATAAAATTATAAAGCATATAATAAATTCGTTAAAAACTTAAAATATAAACTAAATTCAAGTACTTTTTTGTCGATAATAATGATAATAACATTAATTAAGTCTATTAAGAGAAAGTTTGTGAATTTAATTTTTATTTTACAAATTGTAACTCAATTTATAAAATAATATATTTTAATTTTCTATTTGAATCGACTGTTTCTCATAAAATGAAATTTATTAAAATGCAATAAAAAAATTATGATTTTTAAAATAAAAACGTGATTTACAGTTATAATATTTTTATATAATACCAATAATTTATATAAGAGTATAACTTATAATGAAAAAAAACAGTAAATCTTGTTTAAAGAGCACCAGCAGCTTAATGTGATAAAAATGTTTTATCGTATAGTTTTTACTACCATTAAAATATAATTTGTAATATACATAAATAACACTATAGAGTTATATTTTATTATTGTTTGTTTGTTTTTTCTTGTTTTTTTTATATTTTATTTGTTATCACATATTTGTTTGACATTAATTTTCTATAGTATAACAATAGTTAACGACAAATAACACAAATACAGTATTTTATATATATATATATATATAAATATAAGATAACATCTAAATGTATCTTATTGTTTGTCTAATACAGTACATCTACCACTACTAGTGCTATTCATAGCACAAATTTTTGATATATCCTCACATTTATCAATACAACCACAGTATATACTATATATTAAATAAATCATTTATAATGAATACGACATTTTCTATCGATTTTAAATCAAAATCATATCACAAGACGTCTTGAGGCGCTTATGGATCACTGATGGATATCAATACCCAATACTAGTCCAGCTATTAGGGCAGTAATCTTACACATACATAGATATGCACTTATAAATAATATTATTGATATTTATATCATCATACAAAGTGTATGTAACTTATATATCTTAAATCTATATCATATATTATTATTATTATATTATAAATGTATGTATGAAAGAAAGATATGTATAAATTGTAGTTCAAGTGTTATTTCCATTGCCTTTCCTCCCGGTTCTGTAGATCTGTGTCGCTGTCATACAGTTGTACTATATATTGAATAGTAGTGAAACACTTTGAGCCAAATGGTGTTTCTTGAGCTAAAGTTTCCGACCGTTTCATTCAATCTATTCAGTAATCATTGCCCAAACAATTTCTACTATTTGATAATAGCTTTTATACACATATATAAATTTAGTATATATATCATATATATATACAGTATATACCGTATATACAGACCATGCAATGTGTTATTCAATACATTCATGCGATAGAAGTGCCACATTTAATAAGCCATTAGATTATATGCCATGTATTGGTATAGATATATAAGATTTGACATAAATATCATATTCGCCCTCAAAAAAGTGAGAATAATGGTATCAAATATTATATAATATATTTTATACCATAAGAGAGAAACACACAGAGAATATCTACTATAAGATACTATGTATTAAATGAATAGGAAATGCTTAAAATAGCGTCATATTTATGTGTAATCTTTTATATAAAATATATATTTAATATATAATAATATACCCTCAAACATATATATATATATAATATATGAATACTAAACAATATTTCTTATATTTTTCATGTATGTTTATGTCATTATGTAATTTAAAATATTTATAACGAAAAGAATAAATCCACAAAAATTTTAACTTAGAGTTTGTTTGAATGATAAAAATTTCAATATTTAATAAATTATATACAGGTATTATAAGAGTAATGTTAAATAATAAATGTGACACAAATTATAGATCCAATAATATGATTTAAATAAGTATATTATAACGATATAAATGTTTAAATAGAATACTGAAAACATTAAGCTTCTTATAATGATTTTATAATATTTGATATCTATATAATTTATATATAGATATATATATATATATATATATATATATATGTACTTTTACTATATACTACACGTATAATTATTTGTTCAATAATATTTCACAATATAGTGTAATAATAATAATAATAATACAATTGTTGTATTAATAAAAATAATTACTATTTTAGTAAAAATGGTTTATTTAATAATATTTAATAACTACAAAAAAACGATAGTAAAACAAAATAAAAACTATATTTTGATCCAAAATAAAATCAATGAAAGTACACAGAAAAATACAAATATAATAATATTTGATATGCAGTTTATGTGCATAAATAACTACAGAATAATATATCTATATATAGATAATATAGAGTAATATATATTTTAAGAAATTGATCTAATGGTAAGCAATATTTCAATAAATATATAATATTGTTGTTATCATTAATGTATAACTATATGTACGATATGTACGATATGTATATAATGGTATAAATAAAAAAAATAAATGACTGTTAACTTACCCAATGATCTATCATTTAGATTGTTATTATAATCGACAGAAACCAAACAAACGAGAATAATGGCTAAAGTGGTGCACAATATCATCAATGATAGCAATGATATGAGACTGTATTTTATGATTTGATAGGACATCGGCTGCTGTTGTGAACACTTATATCTCATGACTTTTTCTACTTATTGTTGTTGTTGTAGTTGTTATCCTTATTCTTGTGATTCTTGCAAACCAATCGACAGTGAAATGCATTAAATGGTATCTAAAAAATAAATAAAAATAACATTTTTTGACTGCTTTTAGAGAGAGAGAGAGAGAGAGAGAGAGAGAGAGAAAATTCAGTGAATAAATATTTATATACTTAGATATTGTAATGTTTGTATCGAAATGAAATGTTTAAGTGGAGTGACATCTCTTTTGGCTATTTTTTGATTTTCAAATACATTAGACACACATATAGATAGACATATAGACAGTTGCAGTCAGTCAGTCGTCAAAAAACTTTTTTTCTTTATTGTTTTCTACCATCACTTGGAATATAAATATATAAATATATAGATATATATATATATATAAAGTACCGATTAATTGACACACTGTTAGCTTTTAGTTACATAACTGTCAGTCCTCTCTTTTTCTCTCTTTTTCTCTCTTTCTCTCTCTCTCTCTCTCACACAACACACTCACTCACATAAAACTCATATACAGTACTTACTTAGTGTTGTTGTTGTTGCCATACATATTGTCTGTGATGTAATTTTGTAGTGTATATACAGTACTATTTTTCCCAATGATTATAACCTAACAAATCAATAGCAACTGTGAAATAGGATCCGAATGAGAGGGACACTCGATATGCTCACTGACATCCAAATAGTAGTACAGGCGCTGCAAACACACACACAATACAGAAGCGCTATACACACACATTAATACCCCAACCAACCAACCTTATGAAACATTTTGAGTACTAGTTGTCAGTGAGAGTGTGAGTGGGAGAGTCATAGAATAATACATATAAAGAATCTAAGAGAGAGAGAGAGAGAGAGAGCACTGGTAGTTATACTTAGAGACAGAGTGGGAGAGAAAGAGAGCGTCAATAAACAATCCTGTGCTCAGAATATAACAAAAATAACTAATCCTTTGCGTTGAATATATATATATATATATTCTTAATTTTATTTTTTATTAGACAAAAAAACAAAAGCAAAAATTATATATATTTTTATAAATATTTTGTTAAACAAAAATATCACATTAAAAATTATTCTTAAGCTTTGTTTCATTTGTTTGAATACTTTTTTGCATCACATTGTTGTTGTTGTATGTGATGTTGTTGTTGTTGATGTTGTCTATAAATATGTTACTGACAATTGAAAATGACGTTTTGAAGATATTGTTAAATTGTGTTTTTTGAAGAGACAATATCTGTATTTCTGAATGCTTAACAATGTTTTGACATAATTTGATATCTAATCTCAATTTTTTTGTATGTTTGTTATGTTTGTTGTTGTTTTTGTAGTATTAGTTGTTGTTATTATGTGATTGGTTTGATATTTGAATTTTAGAAATATAGGCATAATAATTTTTCATATAATAATTATTATTAATATGAAATACAATATTTATACACAGTATATATGATATGCAGTATCTTTGTCTTTAAATATTATATAACATGACATTTGTCATTAATTTATGTATATTATTAAAAACAATATGATTAGTGACACTAAAAAAATCATATAAAACATATTTTTTTAACTAATCATATTACAGTATATAATGTAAAGTATAATAATTTGTAAAAACATTTGTTTATAAAAATAATTACTTTACAAATATTAAAAAAATAATAATAAAGTAATTTTATAAAAAATTTAATAATATTTGGTTACATTTATAGACCTTTATAGTATATATTTTATTTATTTTATTTATTATATTACTGTACTTTTTTAAAGCTATAAATGTCTATTGTAAAGTATTAATAAAAGATAAATTATTGATCTAAACGTTATTGATATTGTAACTTTAATTAAAAATTTATATACATTAAAGTTTTAAAATTATTGTTGAGAATTGATATTAAAAAATAATAATAAATTTTGAAAGTTAATTTTTGAACTTTTGGAAAATTTGTTAGAAATAAAAAATGATTAAATATATCCACTTAAGTTTATAATAAAAAAATATATTTATAATATACTCACGTGTCAGTTATATGAGATTTTTTTCTTGTTGTAAAAATATCATTTAATAAATAAAATTTTAAAGTACTTATCGTAATAAAAAAAAAGTTATTTTTTTATTATTAATATAGTTATAAAAAATAAAATTTAAAAAATATCTTATCTTTAATAATCTAACTATAGTTATACTAACTTTTTTTTTACTAACTAAATGACTGACAATCTTATCATGATAAGTTTTTTATTTAAATTTTCATCACATATATACTGTAAATATATATATATACAACAAATATAAGACAAAATTTAAATTTTAAAATATTGTTTATTTAGTGAATTAACATAAAATTCAGTCAATTATATATTCTTCTTATAAATAAATAAAAAAAATGAAGAAAGAACCTAAACTTAGTTTTTTCTACTAAAAGTTTATATATTATCAAAACAAAAACAACAAAAAAATAATAATATAAATTTTATGTTACACTTTATAAATATAAATTTAAACAAACATCACATTTAAGACAGAGAATGACTTTTCAGCGATTTTTCATCGCATATATATATATATATGATATATAAATGTTTGACTGAGAAATATATTATATATTAAAAAATCAATTTCATGAATAATGTAACAGTCAATCATCAGTGAGTTTGTGGCAAAAAAAATACTTTATATATGATATATAGAGTATATATACTATATTTTGACTTTTTTAAAGATACTCTATATGTTTGTACGCTTTTATTTTAAGACTGATTCGATAGATAAAATCAGATTATTTTTTAAGATAAAAATTATATTTAATGAAAACATCAATACATTTATAATATTATATTCTCCGATAATAATAATTAGATTTTGTTGAAATCTAATTGAATTAACTATTTAGCCAATTTAGTTTTTTTACATAATAATATAATTTTTGGAAATATCAATATATTATATATTTATATGATACTATAGACTAAATGAATAAATGTATAAATAATAAAATAATATATATATATATCTCCGACTATATTATATATATATCTAATATAAAGACATATAATATTATAATTTATAAACATAATTTTTATGCTAATTTTTTATATATAATTTTTTATTTTTTTATTTTTATTAATTATATAAATATAATTATTTAATAATACTCAATTAATTAAGTATAAAAAAATATTATTCATTAATTTCAATTGAATAAGATCAATTGACAATAAAAAATATATAAATGTAAATTTAAATATTAATTTTTTATTTATTTCTATAAAATTATTCTTCAATTGATTTATATAAAAGAAGATATGGTTTGTTGGGTATGAAAAAAGCTAAAATTAAGTAACAAAATATTATATTCAAAGTTTATTTGGTAAACAAATCGGAAAAAAAGTAAAGCACTTATCCAGTGATATATCAGGATTTATACATAACATATAATATATATAAGTTATATATATATATATATATATACCAGAGTTGCTTAGGGTGGGGTAGGGGTAAGCCTTCTTGCCTCCTTAGAGCATGATTTTTTGGTCTTACACCCCCCCACTTTACAGCAAAAAAACTTTAATATAAATATATAGCTTATGTATACAAAATAAATGCTGAAAAATAATATATTACATTAACATAACATTTAAACATAATAATAATTAATTAACTCAAAATATGCATTTAAAATAATAAAACTTAAGATATTAAATATTTATAACATTTGAATAATTTATAGTGAATTTACTAAAATTGGTAAAAATTGTCATTTAAAAATGCAATAAAAATTGTTGACTCCTCCCTATACCCTCCGCAAGATTTTTGGAGATTTTTGTCATTTTAACCCCTTTATATCCTCTTGAGACGGAAAACCTTTAGCAACCCTGATATATACAGTATATTTATATATAACAAAATGACAAATAAATTTGTAAAAGTCAATCGTATAAAGTTTTTTTTATATATGATATAACAATATACATGTATTGTATTTCTATCTCATTTTTGCCATTTGTTTGTTGACTATTATCGCCAGTGATTGAAATAGTAAAGTAAATCTCCATATATTTATACAAATATATAATATATATATATTTCATTGACATATACTCTGTCAAAATCTTCTCATATTTGAGTTTCAATTATGTTATGCATCACTGAATTCACTCTTTATTTCTCTCTCTCTCTCTCTCTCTCTCTCTCTCTCTCTCTCTTTGATGGCTATACTTGAATTGCATTTCGATATTTGTAAATCTAAATAAAAAATAGAGAGACAACTATAAAAAATATATTGAATATGTGAGTGAGAGAGAGAGAGAGAGAGAGAGAGAGAGAGAGAGAGAGAGAGAGAGAGAGAGAGAGAGAGAGAGATGTGATAGAAAATGTTTCAGATTTTTATTTTTTGATTATTTGAATATGAAATGCTATTTACATAAAAAATACAAAATTTAGAAAATATTTTTGAGAAATATTAAAATGTGAAAAATATACTAAAAAATGATATACAAAATCTAAATAATACTCAAAATACTTTATTATAATTATTATTTCATGTGTTAGACTCAATTAAACTCAACTCAGTTAAAGATAATTTAATAATAAACATCAATATTAATATTTTGACAATAATTTTATAAATAAAACATTTTTTGAATTTTATTAGAAAATAAAGTATATTATTTACAGAAAAATAAATATTATTCTAAACACTAATTTAATTTCAATAAAAATATTAGTTTATATCTATATTTACTTTCATAAAAAAACATCAAAACACTTTTAATTTGTTTCAATTTATTTACATATTAGTTGAAAAACTATAATTTGTTGTACAATTTTTATATATATACCGGTAATAATCTATTGGGAATCTAATCTATTTGACTCTAACTGTCTATACAGTAGATTTGTTTCTCTCTATTCACACAAACATAGACACACACACACACACACACACACACACACACACACACACACACACACACACACACACAGTCATACAAATAAAAATCAATGTAAAAATTATATTAAAGTGCATCGACCGCCCACTATATATATATATATAATATCGACTTATTGACAGCAAATTTACTGTTTTATTATAGCAATGTCTGAAAAATATCATAGCATTTATTTTGTTATTATTTTTTATATGTCTGTATATTATTATTATTATTATTATTCCTAATATATTTTTGTTGACAATTAAACTTTTATTTTTGTTACTTTAATTAACTTATCAAATATACTTTAGATTTCTATTATATTTTATGTTTTATAGTTTTAATTACAATTTTAGTATTATTATTATTGAATGTAATGTTGATTCTTAACAATATAATTATGTCAAATGTCTGTCTCTAAACTGAGGAGTCAATTGTGGTTTATTTACAGTATGTATTGGTAATGTATAATACAATACATTACTATTTATATTGACAACAAAATTAAATAATAGTAACAATTATTACAAAAGTGATATTAAACTTACCTTTTTGTAGATAGTTTCAAAATTATTACTACCTATTACCTATTATTACTATTATATTTATTATATGTATTATAATATTATATACTCAGGTCTTTGGGTATAAATATTTAGAAATATTAGTTATTTAAAAATTATTTTAAATTAGAAATTAGTTTTATTAAAATTATTCAATTATAGCATAATAATAATAATAATTAAAAAAATAATAATCTTAGACATAATATAGATTACTTACTTTAATTAAATTGAATGGTTTTTATTATTTATACATAAAATTATAATTTTATTGTAAATAATATATATAAAAATTAGAAATAAAACAATTACAACACATTTAGAGATTTTTAAAAATTATTTTATAATAAGTATAATTATTATTATAATTTTGTGTCTAAAACAACACTACATTTCTACTATCATTATATATATATTACTGTTAATTTTGTCTATTTTATTTATAATAACATTATTTATAAATATGATGTTATTTATTGTTTTTTATAACAATTTATTACATATTTTTATTAATTTTTGTTTTGTTTTTGTAAATACAATATACCATTAAATAATAAAACAAATATTGAAATAAAGTTTATTTATATTTAGTCAAAAATTATTAATTTTATTGCCATTAATAATATGTAAACAGTATATTACACATTAACATTGCCATTATTTTTAAAGTAGCTAGCTTATAATTATTATAAAATAAAATTTACTAGATATACGACCAAATCTAAATATTTAATAATATTTATTATCAATTATTATTTATTGTCAAATCTATATTCTAAATATATTTTATTTATTTATTTATTATAACAAATTTATTGTCAATATTTCGATAATATTTGATTTAATAATTTATTATATACTTTGAGCATAACTTTGTTTTTACATTCATGTAATTAATATTTTTTTTTAATTTATTTAATGTAAAATAATTAGCAAAATCTTTTTTTTAATTATTAATGATTCAATTTTTAAAATTTAGATATTAATGATTAGGGAATTGAATAATTAAGTAAAAAATAATTAGAAATTAATATAATAGTCATGTTTATCAATATTTATTATTCAATTAACTTTAATATCATATAACATGTAATTCAATTTATTGATTTAATTATTCAAATCTACTGTAAATAAAAACAAACTAAAATAGATCTCTAATATTCAATATTCAATAATATTTTAATGAAATTAAAGTTAATTTGACTATATATATCTAATATACAGTATATAACAATATATAATTTTTATAATTATCGATTAATAGCCTATAATTAAACATATATTGTATGTATATGTATGTGTGTTGTGATATTTTTAAGTTGATTTGAGCAAGTTATGAGTTTAATTTATTATTATTATTATTATTTTGTATATAAATTGTAATATTTTATTTTAATAATTATAACCATTTGTCAAAGCAAAAGATACTGAATTTATCAGTTTAATAATTATTATTATCGTTAGGCAACTAAAAATATTTAAGATTTTATATAATTTTACACATTATGGCAAATATAAATATAATATTTTTTTAAAAATATAAAATATTGAGCCAATTCAACAGCAAAACTAAAACTTAAACGATTGATCAATAAAACGACATAACAATAGGCATATACAGTATATATATATATACAGTAGTTAAGTATATAAGAGATTTAAAAACAAAAAATATAAGACAATATAATAAAATTGGATTTTTTTCTGAAAAACATTTTTTCTAAATAATAAATTTTTACTATAATTTATTTTATTATAAATGTTTTGATAAGAAACTCTTGTACTGTTGTTATCTATTTAAAGTAAAAAACGATATATTTTAAGTCGTAATTTAATTTTTTTTTTTGAAAAATAATTATTTTTGCAATTTTATAATTTATATTGAATGTGCAATTTTTTAAAAGCCTATATTATTTTGAAAAAAACAATTAAAACAATATTTAAATATAATATACGGTAATCTTTTAAAATTAATTATTTAAATATATCATGTAAGAAGTGTAATATTTATATAATAATAATAAAATTATAAATTATTATTACAACACAGTATATCACATATAATTAAAAAGATTTTTTTGTGTTAAAAAATGTTTTGTATACATTATTCAAAATGATAATAAATTATCATTATTTTTAGTATTATTATAGCACCTAAAACACCATTTATTACAGCAATATTTTTTTTAATTAATTATTTATTTCATATTATTTATTTCGATTTTGAGTAGTAGTTGTATCTTTACTATACAAAAATGTAAAAAAATATGATGTTTTATACTTTATTTATTTTTAATTATCATTTTGGTTGGTTTGTAAAATCTTTAACATTCAATTTATTATCATTTGTTTATTTTAAAAAAAAAATCTCTTCAATTAATTATTGAACATAGAATTATTGTACATTAAAACTACAAATTATATAAATATTATTTTTGTTGATGAAAACAAATGTTTGTGTGATATCAAGAGTAACCTTAACATATGAAAACTTATTAAATATAATGAGTATAAGCATTATATTTAACGTGTTTGATGTAAATAATAATAATAGTAGTTATTATTATTATTATTATTATTATTATTATGTAAATATATAGTATATCTGAGCCAATTATTTTTGTGAGACATATATCATATGATATTATATTTATTTATTGTATAATTAGTATCAAACGGCGTGAAATTGTGGATCAGATTTGGAGGCATAGTATTGGTTGACAGAGAGTGGAGGCGGCGGTACATCAAACACCTGCTGCTGATAAGGTGTCTGCGATGACACCGGCGGTGGCTGTGGTGGCGGCGGTGGTGTTGACTGGTGTTGGGACTGTTGGTTGTGATGATAGTGTTGTTGCTGATGACAGGCCATCTGTTCTTTAGGCATCCGATACTTTATTACACAGATAGCGTCGGCAAACGCTATGATTGTGATGCACAGCATATATAACATACCTGTCCAATAAAAATATAATATATAAAATTGTTGTTTACAAGCACAGGGCGTGTGTTGTTGTTGATGCCCGGGTTCACACACACCAAATCTGTTATACTTTAGACAATTGTATTAACATAAAAGGCTATTTAAAAAAGATATATGTTTAGTAATTGAATTTTTGTTTGTTACTTGTTTGCCACATTTTTTTGAATAATATATTCAATAAGTACTTTATAAATATAAAAAAATTGCCAATTTTTTGTATGCAAACTAATGCATTAATTTTTATAGTATTATATCACAGTATTAATATTATATATACAGTATATTAGTAATGGTTATTTAATAACAGATAAAAAATAAAAATAATATTGCGTGTATGCATACAAACTACAACAATAACAAAATTTTTATTACATATTGCTTACACAAACTGAGTTACATATGCTATTTGCCATAATATAGTATTATAAGACATACCTAAATATTATGTAATACTACAGTATAAATTGTTAAATAAAATTTTGTATAATTATATAATACTTTCTGTGCTAAAGCAATCAATATAACGGTTTTGTGGAAATATATTATATCATAATAATTGCCTAAATATTTATAACATGATTTATATCTAATTTAATATACCAGTTTATATGCACAGTAAATAGATATAAATATCTTTATATATATATATATATTAAATATATTGATTATCAAATAACAAACATTAGACTGAAATAATTTAATTATAATCATTTATATTTCATATGATTTTATTCGCACTAATATACAATACATACTGTAAATTATATATCATAGATAAATACAACAGTATATACTGTATTTTACAGTAAAGTATAAACAGATTTTTTTTTTGGTTATTTTTGTATTGAATACATTAGTAAACATTATGCAACTTTAGGGCTAAAGAATGTTAAATTATGTGATAAAATATAAATTTTTATTTATAATACTTGGAATTAATAAAATTCTTGTATTATATTCTAGTAATTTAACAAAAGACAACTAATGCACGAATTTTAGATATCAAAAGTTATTTATATCAATGTTTATAATTATATTTTATGATAAATATTTTTAAATAACTAACTTTTATTCTGGTATTACATACATATTATTAATAAATTTTAAATATTATATATATATATACTTATACTGTATAATTTAATTAACATTTATATGATAAACTTGCTGTTTGTTTGTTTGTTTATCATATATTAAATAATTGTATATACATTATATATATTATATACGGTATAGTACTGTATATATTTACAAATACTGTAATATATGTTGTATGTATTGTATATTATGTTTATACAGTATAAGGAGATAAGAGTCAAATCAACACAACAAATATGCAAATTATGTTATGATTATAATTAAAAATAATTAATATATATATTAGATATTAGTTATAAATGTATAAAAAAATATAAGATAATAAATTTTAGCAAATATTTACCCCAGAGATCACTTTGATATTGAGATGAGACGGTATTACCAAAAAATATTAACAACACTGTCAACGCCATTATCCAACCAAACAGTATCAGTGTCTTCAAGTGCTGTGTGGCCGCCGATATCAGTCCCAACACTAATATCATATTTATTAGCACTAATACCACCAGCGAATAGTCCGGTGATGGTGTGTATGGAAAGTTGAATAACTTGAGAATCGACACCAAATTAAATAGTAGTATCACTACGGCTAACAGTGTGCGAGTAAAATGTATACAAATTAACGTTTTTGCCATCACTTGAAATAATAATAAAAAGTTATTATTATTATTATTTCTTAATTAGTTAAGACATTGTTATTTATTTTGAATTATAATTGCTATTATTATTATAATTATAATATTATATAAATTATGTCTAATTTGAAAAATCACTAAAACATTTAAGCGTCAATTATTATTATTATTATTATTAGAATAAAAACCATTGAAATATCATTTTGCTTAATAATAATAATATTATTATTACTTAGATTACCACTATTATTACTGGTCGTTGTTTTTATTACATAATACTATTTATATTTATATATAAATATATATTGTTTGCAAACATCAACACATTAGCTCAACTGAAAAAAATGATAATATCATTAAATAACTGTTGATAATTTATTATATAAATAAAATGTTTGTTATAATTTTTTTTGTATTGAGATCTGATGAGAACGCAGACAAAAACAGCGATTTTAAATTATCCAACAATTATTATAATTAAATTATTATTATTATTATTATTATTTTTACTATTATTATAGTTTTGGTTTATTATTATTATTATTTTGTTTTTTTTTATTAAATTAAATTTATCTCCTCATAAACACAACACAACATTAGCTGCTCTGTGGATGTGATGCAAAATCCTAACACAAAACAACAACATATAGTGTTTGTGTATATATATGCTGTAAGTTATATAATAAACACACCGTTGATGTTAAAGATAGTGAATAAATGAATGGATGAGCAATAGATATATACAACAGTTATACAGTATTATATAGTTGTTGTGCAAAAACCGATGTAATTCACATAAATAAACATTATATTAGTCTAAAGAGAGAGAGAGAGAGAGAGAGAGAGAGAGAGAGAGAGAGAGAGAGAGAGAGAGAGAGAGAGAGAGAGAGAGAGAGAGAGAGAGAGAGAGAGAGTCAATCATTGATTATGAAAGAGTGAGTAAAAAAAGAGCAAAAAGATGTGAGAGAGAGAAACAGCGATAAAAGTAAATGTAATTCTCAACTATTTTTATACTACATTTTTATTACTATTATTATTATTATTATTATTATTATTATTTGAATTACTATTACTCACACACTTTCTCTCTCTCTTTTCAATAAATATATGTATGATATATACAATATATAYATATATATATATATATATATATATATCGATATATAATATAAAAAGCGTTATATTTTTCTTATTCTTTGCCTTCAATTGTGTTCTTCTGTCACTATTTTCTTCTCTTCTTCATTGCTGTCGTTAATATCATTGTCTTCTTGTATTCATTTCTTTGCTTCTGAAACATACAATTCTCTATCAATTTATTTTTGTTTAATATTATATATATATATATATATATCTATAAATTATATTATTATTATTATAAGATATAACTTATACATAGTTTATATATAACTGTTTCATTCAGATTCTGATCCTTCGTTTCACTCAATTTTTGCTTTCATTTGTTGTGAATGGCTTTTCACTCTCTTCGCCGTCAAACACACACTCACTCTTTACTCCCATTCACTTAAAACATGTCTCAAAAACCGACTGACTCTCTCCTACTTCTCTCTCTCTCTCTCTCTCTCTCTCTCTCTCTCTCTCTCTCTCTCTCTGTCTGTTTCTCTCTTTCTCTGTTACTGTCGTTAGTTTTAATCTTATGCTCACTTTCTGTCTCATTCTCTTAACTGGCAAATAAAAGAAAAGAAAAATTAAAGCAAAACTATATGAAAAAATACAGTATTGTTCTTATATTATGGTAAGTGTGTTATGATTTAAGTGAGAGTCAAGTCTGAGTTTAGATAGAGAAGCAAAGAGAGAGAGAGAGAGAGAGAGAGAGAGAGAAAGAGAGAGTCTATGAATGCCACAAAAAAAACCTACAGAATATTCTGTAATATGTTGTGAATGGTTTGGTTAAAATACAGTACAAACTCTCACCCTGTGCTCTATAATGTCTTATCATTATATGTTAGAGAAAAATGGTAAACACAACACACACACAAATACATACACATATACTCACACATTGAGACTAAAAGTAAAGAGTTTAGGGTTAGGAAAGTGAATGATATACCAGAATCACAACATAAGAGGCAAAGAAAGTGTAAGAAAACTGAAATCGATTCCATCTCTTGAAATGTTTTTATTGTAATCGGTGTCGCCTTTCTCTCTCTCTCTCTCTCTCTCTCTCTCTCTCTCTCTCTCTCTCTMTCTCTCTMTTCTTATCTCTACAACCATCACATCTCTCTTACGAGTTATCTCTCCATCATTTTTCTTAAGCCATCTCTCTCTCTCTCTCTCTCTCTCTCTCTCTCTCTCTCTCTATCAATGAGATCAGTCATTCACTCGTTATACTTACATATTATTATATTCAGTGTAAATGTGTTGTCAGTGTATTCACTGAATTCAAACCCAATTCTTCTTTGCCGAAGTGAATCCACGCCTACTATTGAATTATATTTGTGTTGAAGTTATATACAGTACTGACTGTACTTTACTATATATATATATATATATATATATATATATATATATATAGTCGACGTGTTGTTTCACTACAGAAAACTGTCTAAACTGAAGAAAACGAGAGCACACATACTGTATATCTAAAGCACACATAAAGTAGTATAACAACAATCCTCTCCCATGAACTCCATTCCCAATACTGGCTAACAGTGCTGACGATGAGGATTTGCTCTTCACACCAGTCGATGCTCGATAGGCCTTATATTTGGTGTGTGTGTGTGTGTGTGTGTGTGTGTGTGTGTGTGTGTGTCACTGAGTGAGTCAGTGAGTGTGTATCTATGTTATTGAAAAGTGAGACAGAGAGCTAAAAACATGTTAAATATAACAACAAAATAATTGTTGAAACTAAATAAAATAAAAAAATATAATATCATTGGTGTGTCTCTGTGTTTAGGTTTTTTGACGACACATCACTACTAATACACAGTTATTGGTCTTTAATGTCAATATAACTGTATTGCCATTTATTAGACTCAATGAATACAATATTATATTTATGTTGTTGTTGTTGTTGTCCTTTATATTGCTTTTTTATATATCAAATATAAATTTAATATATTGATATAAATTTATATTGCCTTTACATTTAAGATACTAATACATGCCAAATATTATTATACGAATTGATTTATTTTCACTATATATTGACTATAATATTAATATATATTTGATGTCATTTGATTACAATTTTTATTGTTAGTGACAAATAAATGGTCAATAAAATGAATTTTATTACCTCTTAATCTCCATTATGTTGACCATCAGTTTAATGAAATAATTAAAGTTATAAACGCTTAGCATTTATAACCATTTAAAACTACTTTTATGTTTATACTGTATATACAGTATATTCTGTATTTATAATATATAGTATATATATATATTTATAGAAATAATTAATTTGTATATATTAAAACACATTGTATATCTATACATACATAAAACTACCCTTCCTTTACAATCATTTAGTGACATCCCTTTCCCCATCCTTTTCTTATTCATCTCACTTACTGTAATCACATATTTAATTTGAAGTACAAAAATTATAATTATACAATTTTGAGTGGCATTTTAGTTTAGTTTTTTATGTTATTTTAAAAATCAATATATATATACTGTATATACTGTATATTATAGAAGTTTATAATTACTGATTAAATTAAATACTTTCAAAACAAAAACGATTTCATAAAATCTAATATTAAATATTAAAATGATTGCCAATTAATTTTTATTTAAAAAAACAATTAAAAAAATTCCAGAAAATTTGATTATTTAATACTTTTCTGGTAAAAGTAACTAATTAGTGTTTTCTATGTGTTTTGCTTTTTATATTTTTAAAAATATGTCCAAAATTTTTCATTAAATTTATATAAATTTCTCAGTATATATAAAATAAAAACTTTATTTAATTACATGATAGCATCAAATACAATATACTGGTCAGTGAAAATGTATATTTTTTAATTTAAGAATAATTTTATACGTAAATTACTGTATTATATTAAATATTATTAAATAAATATGAAATATTAGATATCCAGTATGTATGTATATATACTGGATATATAATATTTATGTAATTAAATTTTTACCATTATTTTGCAATGCATTCAAAAACTTGTTTCATAATATTTTTCACAATTAAGTTTATAATATTTATAAATTATAAACATATTATATATACTGTATGTATCATAATTTATATACCGTATTAATATTTATTAAAATATTTTTTTCAAAGTAATACATGAATAGTCTTTATTATAGATACTAAACAAAAATGACAACAACAACAACAACAAAACTATTACTATTTCTACAACAACGTCAGCGACAAAACTAAATAAATTAAATTTTTAATAAAAATTTTATTTATTTATATTAATCTAACAGACAAAAAAGTGGTTTAGTTATAAATAACTAAATAAATTTTTAAGTAATATTTTATTTATAATGACTATCGTTTTGTGAGTTTTGGATAAACTTTATTTAACGTTAACAAAACAATTAGATTTTGCATTTTCAAAATAAAATTTCAAAATATTATGAATAATTAAATTTCGTTGTATTGTGTAATGCATTTACTTGTTTTTGTTGCAAATTATTTAGTATTAAACAATATAAACTATATATATAATTACATATGCGGCAAAATAATAATAATAATAATGAATTAAATTATTTGATAATAACCATTATCTAGACTGATTTATATCACAAAAATGATATATCTATTAAATTATCAAATTTATATTTTTTAAAACCATTTTGTAAATTACCCAAAAAAATAATTAACATCATATGTTTAAAAACAAATTAATTTTATAAATATAGTCTTTTATTTTGATTTTATTTAATGTTTATTTATATATATATATTTATTCAAATTATATTCATTAAACATTTATTTATGCTATAATTTGATAGACAATAATCAAAAAATATTATTCAATTAATATTTTTATATAAATTATATC